GTTGGTTAATTGTACAGGTATAGATCTATATCGTATTAGACATGTTCACCATAAATAAAAAAAATGATCTTTCTCTATTTTTCAATCACGCTGAATCTAATCGAATGGATTAAAAATAATCATTCGATGTAAAATTCAAACACAAGTTATGTGGAAGGAAAAAATTGACATGTTATGATGCTTAATATGACATTCCTTAAATTCTTACTCGTGATTCAATGCCGAATGCTCACTACCAACTAGATTGTAATTGGCTATAGTTTTGAATTTTAAGCAATAAAACTTATGTCACTCATTCTTGTGAAAAATATATACAATTTATTAAACTCGAAATGGGAACAGATTTGAAAAAGGATTTTAGAGCGTGTAGGATTGGACCAGGAGGGTCTCTTGATGACAAGTATCCAAATCAAATCATATTTTGTTATCAAAATCCTTCAAACTATAATGTATTTCACCCATTCACACAGCTAATATTTTTAACCCCCTTTTTTCTACCACCCACCAAACCATACCTAACAAAAAGAACTTCTGCATTGCCTTACGGTCCAAGTCAACAATAGAATTATTCAATAAGCATTAATTAATTTAATTTTCCATGACGTGTTTAGCAGGTTAGAAGAAAAATAATATAAAATCCCTTAGTGGCCTTATATTCTATCTAAAAAACTTTAAAATGGGGTCCAATCTCACTTTTGAATACCCGCGCACCCCCTCCTCCTTTCTTTATTATGTCTCGTATAATAGGGAGACCATGTTAGATATATCTAATTTTTTTTACCTAATACTTTACATACACTCATAATACGAGTGTGGGGACCACATGTTGAGATTATTTTATTCACGCGGATTCCACATGCTTGTGAGAGTATGTAGACCATTTGGTAAATTAAATTATGTACACTTAAAATTATTCATAATGGGGCACAAGCAATTTATACTAGTGTACATGGGGGTACATAAGGCGCTTTCATAGGGGGCGAGTGAACACCGTTATGTACTTGGTGATGTACATAAAAAATAATCCTTTATACTGTGTATGTATACGAAGGGATATTTGCAATAGAAATTTCAAACATTTCAAAAATATGCGAATGTATGTATGGCATAGTAACTTTATTTGCCACATTTTTATATAATAAAATTCATAAAGCGAACGCTATAATATTAGAAAACAATACAATAAAATGTTTTAATACAATATAACAAGCAAGATCCTTGGCTCTTCGATAGACCACGCATTCGAAAATATTTATTTGATTGAAAATAGAAATAGAAAGGAGAGATTTAATAAGTGTTTGATACCCATTTTTAGGGAAAAATGAATTTTAGAATAATAGATTGATGGAAAATGTGTGGAAGAGAAATAGAGAAATGTTTTTTATTTACGTGTAATATTATTTTAATGAAGAACGTGTGGTTGAAAAGAAGAGAAGGAAAAATGTATTTTGAGAAAAATGGAAATCAAACGGGGCATTAACTAGAAATCTTTTGGAAAATGTTTTTGATGCTTTTAAGTTATTATAATTTCCACGCCCCAAAAAAAGGGACAAATTACAATTGGTCCCAACCTATTTTTCAACATTCAATTTCCGGAATGTTATCTTTAACCTTTCAAGTTGATAGCGGTTCTCTAAAACTGTTTCCATAAAAGATTACCCCTCTATTTGATTTTTTCAAAAATTATATTTTAATGATATTTTATAAAACTTGATCAAGGATCGTTTGATATGACTTCTTCTTTTGGAAACTTTACGAAAAAGTTTTCTTAATTGTTGGAATCTTATTTTTGAAGGAACTTTTTCTTTCATAAGAACTTTTAAATGAATTCATATTTGGGATCCCATTATTTGTAGATTATAATGAAATGAATGGTATTTTTTTGAAAAATGAGTGGTTAAAAAGTTTTTGATTTACGTGTAATATTATTTTATTGAAGATTGTGTGTTTAAAAGTAGGAGAGAGAAAATTTTAATTTAATATAATGAGAAATAATGAGGCTCAAACAGGGGCCTTCTAATTAGAAAAATATTAGCATACAAGTAACAAAAGAGTAATGCTTTGTAATTTCATTGGATTGCAATTATATTCTAGGTGACATTAGATGATAGGTTAAATGAAAATTAGAATTAAATAAGTAAATTTAATTCTACGTATCAATTAATGCTACTCTAGAGTTACCTAAACTGAAGTTGCAATTCCAATGTGGCTAAATATCATTATTCTTAACAAAATAAGTCCTAGAGTAACTTCTAGACCTTAAAAGCTCATTTTACTTTTCAAAAATGATGTCAGACGAACATTAAATGTGAAGTTGAAAAGTTAATACAAGTTATGAATTTTGTAACATATGTAGTTACAAATAAATTTGAAAATCATGAGCGTGATATTTACGTAAACTATTTCCAATTTAAATTTTGAACAATGTTACATGTACGTAATTTTTTTACCTAATCATTTACCTATTACTCACAGTAGAGAGTAGGGACCACATTTGGGAGGCGTTTATATTCACGGGGGCTCGCATGCATTATGAGAGGGGGGATAATTTTCAGTACATTTCATTCGACACAAATAGAATTGTCCTTAAATTTTTTAGGAATATCTAAAATGAAACCTCAAACCACCAACATCCTAGTGTTTATTCTCCAAAGAAGAGAGAAACTACATGTCTTCTCCAAGTCTCTTTCACACATAAGCAGCGTGTAAATGTATGTAATGTAATGACTTTTGTGTCTGTACATATCTTTACCCAATAATTAGATACACGCACTAGTTTTTTATATTTAATTATTTATATATGATTACACTTCATTTGTTCCATAAACATAGATATTTGTATTTCCTTTTTTTGTTCGCTCTAAATTATATTCTACTTTCCTTATTGAAAATATAATTGATTTTTTAGTTTTATAATTAATATATCATTATTTAACGTATCTTATTATCAATAAATACAAACTACTAATGTATGAATATATTAGAGAAATGTAGTAAATTTTTATATTTTCAACTATATTAATTATATTTTTTAACCGTGTAAAAATAAAAATAAATCTATCTTTATAAGATGGATGAATTACATACATTTGCACAAGGGCTTATTTGACCACAATATAATGAAAAAAAAAATTATGTCCTTGTTTGGTTTAGATAAAAATTAGTTTTTTAGTAAATTTCAATAAAAATTGATATTTTATGATTGAAAAGTTATAAGCCCTATAAAATGTGTGATTAAAATTATTTATTGATTTTGTCTTAAAATTTAGTTCAATTTTTTAGTTGAACGAAACAAGGGGAATATATAGGTCGCAAAAAAAAATAAAAATGCAATTGATTCTAGAGCAATATGATAACATCCAATTTTTCGATTCAACGATTCTATCATGAACATCAATAGGATGCAACATAAACACCAGTATTCAAAATAACTAATTTCATTCAAGTTTGAGTTTGAATATCATTCCGAGAAATTTAATCTATTATTGCAAACAAGTATGAATAAACCTGAATTAACATATTAAAGAGTTCAATATCATGAATTAAGATTGAGATCAATCTAAGACCCGTCGTCTTGGCTAGAGAATGTATATACATTCTATTTAAGCATACAAATGAAGTTATCACAAGTGTCTAAGAATCAAATTTGAGGATCCATCTAAAATCAAAACTTTTTATGTTATAAACTGTCGTGTATTTTTTAGACGTATCGTTCAATTTGATCAAGTTTAAGCTCCTATTTGACAATCATTATTATTATTATATATATATATATATATATATATATATA